TGGATATCTCTTGGCACATTTTGGGGCCCTTAGTGCCAACTGAGCATCATTTAAGTGCCGCAGCCTTTACGCAACAAGTGTCCAGTGACTGTACATATGCTCTTTCTACTGTGCATGTTGCACTTACATGTTATTATGTTCATCCACATAGCCAATATCATTGAGCATGCATGTATTCAAATACAATTCCACAGAGATATGTGTGTTTTACAACCAGTTTTCCATGCATGACAGTTTGTGGATTTGAATTCACATATGCATATTGCATATTATTAAAAACATACATACACATATATTTTTTAAATAGCTAAACAGATGAAAGGAAAACTAGAATTAATGTGTAACATTAAAAACTACAAGCTTTTCCCCCATTCTTTCTTTATTAATCGCCCTACGAAGCCTTAGATTGAAGGAATTCACACCAACAATCCTCCAATAATTATTAACAAAAAAGTGGCAAATATGTCTTTTCAGAAAAATGCAGGACCAAACTTTCAAAACTTTAAACCACAATTCTCCAGTGCTATTGTGGTTTTCTAATATGTCAGATAGGTTCCTGCATGAGCACAATGTGTTCTGCCAAAACGGAAAAAGTTATTTCACACGAGAGTTCAAAATTCCTTTTCCATGTTGATTTGTAGTCGTCTCGTTGGTTTAAAATGAACTGAAAAGGGTGAAGTTGCATACTGTCCTTGAAAGATTTATAAGAATCTGTGTGACGGACTTAATCTTCACCACTAATTTAATGAAACCTTATCTGAATTGAAAGAGCTACAAAAAAGAGCAAGTCTGCTGCGTATCGTAGCATTATTTTCAAGACATTCATGACAAACCATGCAAGCTTAACCTTTACATACTTTTCCTATTTCATACCTTTATAGTATGCTATCATGTATCATGTCTTGATTTACCTAAGAAATGAGAACATGATAGCTGTAACAACTTAAATATATTTTATTGTATGTAAAAATGGCAAGACAATTCTGAAACTGTTGGAGCTTGTTACATAACTACATTATTGTATAACCGTTACAGCTGGTGTGCACTCACTGCTATATCCTCACTGCTATATCACAAAAATCCTCAGAACAACCATCCGTACTGTAATCATTATTATTAATTCAACATTAAGAACCATGCCATGGCCAGGCCATGGTTCTCAGCCGGAAAAGGGTGGAGTGCCCACTCCGGGTCAGGGATGAGTTCCTGCCCCAAGTGGAGGAGTTCAAGTATCTCGGGGTCTTGTTCGCGAGTGATGGGAGAAGGGAGCCGGAGATCGACAGACGGATTGGGGCTGCAGCTGCAGTAATGCAGACGCTGCACTGGTCCGTCGTGGTGAAGAGGGAGCTGAGTGTAAAAGCGAAGCTCTCAATTTACCGGTCGATCTACGTCCCTACCCTCACCTATGGCCACGAACTGTGGGTAGTGACCGAAAGAACGAGATCGCGGATACAAGCGGCAGAAATGAGCTTCCTCCGAAGGGTGGCTGGCCTCTCCCTTAGAGATAGGGTGAGAAGTTCGGCCATCCGGGAGGGGCTCAGAGTAGAGCAGCTGCTGCTCCACATCGAAAGGAGCCAGCTGAGGTGGTTCGGGCATCTGACAAGGATGCCCCCTGGGCGCCTCCTGGGTGAGGTTTTCCAGGCATGTCCCACCGGGAGGAGGCCCCGGGGCAGACCCAGGACACGCTGGAGAGATTATATCTCTCGGCTGGCCTGGGAACGCCTTGGTATTCCCCCGGATAAGCTGGAGGAGGTGGCTGGGGAGAGGGAGGTCTGGGCCTCTTTGCTTAGGCTGCTGCCCCCGCGACCCGGCCTCAGATAAAGCGGATGAAGATGGATGGATGGATGGACATTAAGAACCACTGAAAACACAAAACATGCTTATTTCAAATTAACATATTTAAAGCAGTGGGAGGAAACCTTACATTTATGGGATTTCTCACGTGTTTCCCACACACTCACTGAAATGGCAGCTCAGGTGCCTTATAATCTTAGGACTTTCCAGCCCCTCTTGGGATCTCTCGTCTCTGTCTTTAATCTCACGAAGCTCTCAGTTTGATCTCAGCTCAGAAAAAAAGAACTCTGATTGGTTTAGTTTTAGATTATTTTATTATATTTCAGATGCTTTATTTAGCAAGACCAAATATATTTGCATTTATATCTAATCTCACTGACCACTTAAACCACTTTTAACTACAATTCAGACTTTAAGTATACATTAATACAGCACTACATTCTGTGCGATTCAAGGACTTTATTTACCTCATACCCATGGCCGATTTAGAATCACCAATTAGCCTAACATGCATTTCTTTACTTGGGGGAGAACAGGCAAAGTTTAAACAGGCTCTGCCTAGATTTGAACCAGGAACTTTCTTAGTATGAGTTGACAATGATAGCTCGTGCACCAACATGACTGCCCTATTTCAGGTCTCATATCTGTTTCAGGGGACCTTCTGACTACTGTAGCACATCTGTTACCTTTGTGCACTATCTATGATCACTTCTATTTTTACTGTTTAACTCTTTGGAGGTTCCCCCATGAATGCTCAAAGACCAGCAGGTCCCTATGACTGCAGGAACTTGGGCAAATGTGGTGGGAAGACTGAAAAATCGTGTGACACCTCAAATTTTGTCATCACTTTCCCATAAAAAAACACAGACGTGTGCCACGTCAAAGTCTCAAGATTCTTTAAAACCACCATTTTCTTGAAATCCATCTCAGTTTACAGTATATAGGTCAGTTTCGACCCAGGTCAGCTAGCCCCTGCACAACAGTGTCAAAGTTTCAAATAGTTTTTGTGTATTTTGGGTCACTTTAGGAAAAGTCACCAAATTTAAGGCTAAAAGGATGACATTCAAGGTATTTTTAATCCTGCTAAATGTCAGGACAGGTCCAATTTGACCCAAACAATATGTAAAGGTTAACAATACCCTCAATTAACTGGTGGGTGTCAGATCTGCTAACAATGTACATTGTTTAGCAACGACTCATTATTCCCCTCAACCCATCCTCACTCCTCTGCCAGCAACTGCATCTTTATCACAGGGTTGAGTAATGTCACTCCTGCTTTGCCCCCTGCACTAATTATCAGATCTCTAATCATCAGTTTATCACACTTCCTTAAATGAGCAGAAACAAGGCCAGTATTGGGGCCCATCGTATTGACCGTATGGACTGCGTGGAAAAGGGAAGGGTGGTGGTGGTCTGAGGTGGGAAAAATGTTGAAGAGAAAATTGATTTTTAGGAACATGTTCATCAATTCATAACTGGAGTTCAAATAGTAGAGCTATTATGTTAACCAGCTGAGCTTTCTTTTAATGGTGTTTTTTTTTGTTTGTTTGTTTTTGTAAAAACTGCTTCCAAAAGAACCAAACGAGTCAAGTGCACATTTTTCCCTTATTATCATTTCCCCCCTTCATAGTGGCAATTCATATGATTTTCCTTTTATTTGGTTGCTGCTACATAGTCACTTTACTACAGGTGGGAATGAAAGGAAAAGGCTGAATGAAAGAATGGCACAACACAAAATATGCAAATGATTCCACACAGATTCATCGCATGACACAATTGGGCAATTAACAGCTAATCACGCTCTGTGTTCAGCTGACTGGTGTGTCAGTAGATACAGTGTATTTAGAACTACGGCAGACACCAGAAAATAGAGTCAGAAACAGAGATGGGAAAGTGCGTGTTTACAGACCTTGATACTTGTGCGTTAGTGCCATATGCATGGAAAAACAGAGGAGCAACTCTACCTCAGAAAATGTCAGTGGCGTGATTAAACTGCAAGCAAGACTAGTCAATAAATTCTTCAAATACAGAGAAATTTTTTTAGCTTTAAGTGGAAAAACTCAATTTTAAGATGAATGCACACTTTAGAAGTCAGCATTGTTCTGCAGAGATGCAAAGAGAAGGTGATATGGTGAGATGAGTCATCCATCACCAACTTCTCAGCGTGTGGGCGAATGCATGTCATGCACCAAGAGAATGCCCATGGACATAAAGGCTTGACCCCAGCAGCAAGAGGATCCAATGGCTCTGTGATGGTATGGGAGGAATTTTGCTGGCCTCAGGAAGTGTCACTGCAAACCAATGCAAAGCTGTACCGAGTGGCCACCTTTATTCTGTGACAAAACATTTCTTCCCTCATGGGAGTAGCCTATTTGAGGATGACAGTACCCCCTTCCCTATGGCAAAAGTGTTCACTGAATGGTTTGAGTCACTGGCCGGAGATGTGGGAGCTTGTGAACCAACAGCGCTTCTCATAACCATCATTGAAACTGTCCAAATCTCTTTGGATGAATTGAGTTCAATCTCTCAGGTCGAGTGCAGAGTCAGTACAGACGTGCATGCAAACTGTAGTGATGTCAACACCAAACTGAGACGCTGTATGTATCTTTTTCTTTTAATTTGCCACCCCTTTTTTAAAAACTGGCCTGGATTTTTATGTTTGGGATTTGATGTCCACTGAGCTTGAAACACAACACAAACTTTTGTTAATCCAGGAAAGGGCTCTAGTCGTCTGACTTCTGTGAAATAAATGAGGTAGTAGCTTCAGTTTAATATTCTGTTTCATCTCCCTCTTTTTTTTATATACCTCACTGAGGTTCTTCT